GCAGATATAGTAGTTTCACTTGTATTTAATTTGCAGTATAACTGTTTTGTGGTATGTACATTTTCTGTGTATATTATATTTGACAATAAAAAAGAAAATTTCAATTTGTTCTCAACCCCCCCCCCCCGCCGCCGCCCCGCAATAGTATGGAAAGTACTCTCATGATTCTCAACTCACAGGCAAGCAAACTCAGATACTAGGTGGTCAGCAGCTGCCCAGTGCTAAAGCCAGGACTTAAGCATAAAAACGTCAATGGTTAAGTCCTAGGTGCAAAGCATCCCCAGCATCTAACTAGCTAGTAGAGTGGACAAACAGGTGGGACAGAAGTAGCAGGCAGGCCCGAGGAAGACTACAAGAGTAGGCAAGTTAGTGAGCCATTGCCATAGACAGGGAAGTGAAAGGATCAAGATGACATCAGACTTTGAGTCTAAAATACATGGAAAATATGGGGATGGATTTTGCAAAGATAAGAAAACAAGGTCTAAAGGATAAAAAAAATTGGAAATATTTTTAACCATGATAATCTGTACACAGGAGGAAGGCAAGACTGCCATGGAGGAAGAGAGAGCACACTTGGATACGTGGAATGTGTTTGCCTCTGCCTTAGGGTGATGGTTGAAGCCATGGAGAACATAAGGTCACCTGAGCTGAGGATGCAGAACTAAAAGGGGCACTGATAGGGCCTCAAGAACCCCCAGAGAGAACAGCAGGTACAGAAGATCCAAAGGCAGGAAAGTTATCAAAACTGACGCTCCTTGAAAATACACTGAAGGACAAGCAGCTGGTGGACACAGAGGAGCCCAGTGTTCCTCCCGTCCAACTCAGCCATGAGGGTCCCCAGGAAACCAAGACAAGGAAGCAGGTGCTGCATGTCCACTCACAGTTGACATAACTAGGGGCGGAGAGAGCCTAGCCCCGGGACACAAAAGTGAGGGAGAAAGCATGTATACAGTCAGAACTGTATACTGCCTTAGACATGCTCCTGCTTCTAGGTACTCTAAGGGAAGTGATGGACATCCCCCAAGATAAGAATTTGATAGTAACAAAGCCACATTGGCCAAGTTCTAGAGAAACTAGTCCACTAAGCTTTACCTTGATTCATGTGATTAATTGATATTTTGTTCGCTTGTTCACAGAGACAGGGTTTCTCTGAGTATCCCTGAATGTCCCGGAACTCACTCTGTATAGACCAAGCTCACCTGGAACTCAGAGATCCACCTGCATCTGCCTCCCGAGTGCTGGGATTGAAGGCATGTGCCACCATCACCCGGCTTGTGATTAACTGATTATCAATATATTCTAATAAATTCAAGCCCTCCCTATGCCTATAGCTACACACACACACACACACACACACACACACACACACACACACACACACACACACACACATACACACACACACAGCATTTCACAAGGTCTCCTGTATACTCCTCTTATTCTCAAGGTCAGCTTTTGCCCTGCATGCTGCTGTCTGGCTTTACTCTCTCCAATATTCGCCAGATGGCAGGGAAGCGGGAGGCAGACCAGTTAAGAATCAGAGAGCCAGCGGGAGCAAGAGACAGATAAGAGAGGGTCACAAGGGGCTGCATGTGATCACAGCACATTCTCTTCGTGTGCAGAGACAACAAAGGTAAAAGAAAACATTTGAAAGAGATCTTTTGTCATTGAAAATGATCAAGAAAAAACAAAGAGACCTTTGTAGTTGAAAGTTCTCCTGTTCAGACACCAGATTCATAGATAATGTCATGAAGTTGCAAGGTAAAAAAGTTAAATATAAACATTTTATTTGTATAACAAATTATTTTATGATAAAATGAAACTTGAAAGTCACAAATTAAAGATTATTAACATTGAGCAATTTGGTTAAAAAAGGAAAACTCTGATTTCTGGAATTTTGTTGCATAAAATCTCACTGTCTATGAAGATGGCCCAGCCAAAATTACCCTGGTAGAATCCCAGCTTTATCCCAAGACAGCTATCAGATGCGGCTCCATCTTCCACTAAGTGGTACCCCTAAGTCTTCTATTTAGTGCCTCCTGTTGCCGCCTGCTGAGTGTATGACACCACTTCTCTTTAGTAAGCCTTCCCTGACCATCATTTTCAATGTTCTGGGTAGCCTGTGATATGCTGGATGTTACCTGGGAGCTTCAACATGATGTAGGCTGTGGACACTCCAGCATGGCATATGAAAGGAAGGCCATAGTCCTCCATTTTCACTTCTAAGAATGTGATGTTCACTGTGTACGAAATGTGATCCTTCAAAGAAACATTGGTTCTGGAAAGAAAGAGTCAGCCATTAACACGTGAGCCAGGTTTCCCCAACATAAGGTGTAGCCTATCTCCTAGAAACAATGTGGGGAATTGTTTTGTCTTGTTTTCCCTAGAGAACTCTCTGGGCCATATTTTACTCTAAGATACTGGAGTGACTCCATATATAGAAAGTCTATAGTTGTAAATTTTCGTTTTCATCTAGACAGTCATAAAAAAAAGTGTGACTCTGCTGACGACAGTCCCAACTGCAGCGCTAATGGGCATCTTCTCCCCGCCCCCACACCCCCGATTTTACCCTAGTGTGTCCACACAGCAATGCTCCGCCACGATCATCAGTCCTGATGTCATTTACATCACAAATCATAGCACCATAAGTTGAGTTTGAACACCACTGCCTGTGCACAGTCTCCCCCCAAGAAATCCTGCACTGATCCTCTCTGCGCTAACTCACAGTGAAGGACAGCAGCTCCAATTGCCACTGGATGGGATGGGCTGGATTTGAACGGCGGCTGGCATATATGGACACTGTTTCTCTAAGGTACAGCTCATGTTCCGCTAACACTGATTCAGCTGAAAACTGAAGCATCTTGCATTGCACTGTCAGAGCTAGATGCCTGGCTACATACAGCACATAATGGTCATTAAAAGACAAAGCCAAGCGCAGAAATAAAAGGGCCGGTGGCGCTGTCCATCAAAAGCAGTGGTCATAGCACGTTGAGGTGGAGGGAGTAACTCTTGCTCGCTTTCAGAGAAGCCCCCAAATCAGCACCTACTCAAATCCTTCCCGGATGCGTTTGGAGTCACGGTAGTAGTCATCCACCAGGGTGTTGTTGACTCTCCAGCAGCGCAGGTTTGTGTTCTCCTTCGTGTCCGTTATGTTGCAGTCCACAACCAGGGTGGAGCCTGAAGCAATCAAAGTCACAAACACTGAGTGGGAGGGCTACGGAGTCTCGAGCTGTCAACCTGGTTAATAATGCAATGAACAAATACGCCTTGCTTTGGGGCCTGGAATATTTAATTACCAGAAACATCCCCCCAGGTTGACATAAAAGTGCCCGATCTTCTTTCTGTATAAAAGGCAGGGTGGAGGAGAAGCCTCCCAGGCTGGGCTGTGGAGAGATCTGCACACACTCCCCCAACAGCCACACCTCTGAGGAGAGTCTCCCACAACAGGAAACACAAGTACTACTTCATCTACCCCTACTGATGCTAGCAAAGTACTTTACAGTCTACGGAGTGTTTCCTACTCAGCCGCCACCCCCAAGACTGTGCATCTTTGAAATAATTCAGTAAAGAAAAGTGGAAGGCACTCTTCTTGTGACAGATGAAAAACTTAAGTTCAGACAGACTGAGTGGCTTGCTCTAGGTGACACATGTATTATAGAGAGACGTGAGACATGAGCTTTATTTCCTAGTCTCTAATCCAGTGATGCCCTACTTTAACAGATGCAGCCCCTGAACCCATTCTCCTCATTCCCTGATCCTATATCCAAACATCCCAAATCATATTTAGTAAGTCTGTATTTTCAATGTATCTTACCCTTCAGTCTAATAAGGCCTACTTCACCTTTCAAGAGGGGTTCTTCGGTCTATGCGGTATTTTACATTTTATTGTGATGTGTAACACATACAATAAAAAACCATGGAGCACAGCTAAACATCAGTGGGCTAAAAGAAAGTAAATATCCACGTCACCTTCCCTCCATGGAGAAAACAGTGTAGTTCCAGAACCGAGAGTTTTCCACATTCCCTTTCCTTCATTTATATTGCACTGATTGCATATTTATCACCAGATTCTGGCTTCTGTTGCTTAACATTTACTTTTGGGGCTGTTGCATGTGTTATACAGGGCAATATACTCTCTTTATTTCTCCTAAAATCACTACATACTCATTTGTGTTGTATGTGTTTCTGATATTTTCTTGGCAAGTCTTTTAGGAACTCTCATGTGTATGTTTCCTGAGGCATGCATGAACCCATTTCATGTGTGTGTGTGTGTGTGTACATATACATGCATATGATCCATATACATAATAGGAACGCATAACTTCTCTAGTATTAGTATTGGATGTATACAATACAACAATGTGGTGGACTGTTTCCCAGAGGGTTGGTTCAAGCTGTACCCCTACCAGCTTGTGGTAGACCAGCTCCCACATTTATTTACCCCAGGGGCTCTTGAGGGATGAGGAATAAGAGACTTAGATCAAAATAGAGGGGAGAGAAACAGAGAGAAATGCAAGATAACCTCGGGTGGGCCTAGATCCTTATCCACCAGCCCAGAACTTTATTCCAAAGGGTTTTTTATAACAATGCCAAGGGGAGGGGCAAAAGACCTCCCCCTTGCTAGATACAGCTAAGTGTAGACCCTTCCAAACACCTGGTACTCAGGCCCGTGGTCCAATCATCCTCTTATGCAGTCCTGCTGGGTAAAGCCACCAGGAAACCTAGATGGGCTCCAACACCAGCTCTGAGTAAGCTTCTTGTTGCTTCATATACTCAAGAGTACTAATGGTCAGACCATTTTATTATAGATGCCCATGCTCCGAGTTTAATTTGTATTTCTCTACACTACACATGAGCAAACAGCCACCTTATATTTTATTGGTCACATGCATGGTATTGATTGAACATTGTCCATTTTCCCTCCTCTCCCAGGTCCTATTTTCCTTATAAATGTGGAGTCTATGTTCACCTATTACAAGCATTTTCTTCTGCTCCAAAATTTTTATACCTTTAATAGTCTTTTAATAAACAGAAATTTATCTTTAACAGCATCTTACCTATACATTTTTCCTTTACAACTAAGGTTTTATTTGTCCCAATTTTAAAAATATCCTTTATTACTTCAGAATCATGAAGATGTTTTCCTGCGTTTTGACTATCATATTCAGGTCTACAACTCACCCAGAATTATTTTTATATGCTGTGAAGGAGAGGCCAAATTTCCTTTTATTATATATTACATCTAATAAGCAAGTACTATTTATTTTAACATTTTTAATTTCCCAGCCCGGTATGGTAGCACACACCTATAACCCCAGTACTTGGGGAGATGAAAGCCAGAAGATCAGGAGTTCAAGACCAGTCCGGGATACATGATATCTCTCTCTCTGTCTCTCTCTGTCTGTCTCTCTCTGTCTCTGTCTCTGTCTCTCTCTCTCTCTCATTATTATAAATTATCTACTTTTCTGTAGTGCCTTTATCAAAACCCAAAAGACTGGTGTGTAAGAGTATTTCTGGTCTTTCTCTTCTGTAGTCATTCCTCATACCAGCTATAGACTGTATAAATGTGTTAGCCTCCTAAAACACCTTTAAATTATTAGTAATCCAATCTAGTTCTTCCTAATTTAAAGTTTATTGATTCTTGTACAACCAAAAAATGGTTTAAACGCTATGGAAGAGAACACAGTAATCTGACTTCTTAAAATCCATTGAAATACTGATAAAGAGTTCAGTACGTGACTACTAAACACTGTTCCTCTGAACGTACAAGTTTTTAAGGTCATGTTATCGTATTATGTATTCACAAATTCAAAATTGGAATTTGATCACTACATCTCCTTTGGCCTGTAATAATGCATTTGCCTTAACATCTATCTTGATATCAACATAGTTGTACAAATATTCTTGGAAAAGTGTCCTTGGTGCCTCAAAGATGGGTGATGCTGAGAGCACTCAATAAGACAGATATTTGCCAACATGTAATTTTCTATAGTACTTGTATCCCAGAGGAAACAGACTGGTGGAGTCATTAACAAATCATGTTAATGTCAAGATACTATACTAGTGTTTCAGACATGTAAAACTGGCTTTGAAAAATCTTTATTGTATTAGAATAGTCTTAAAGAAAAAGTACAAGTGATTGTGGCAATTTAGATAATTTTCTTAGAATAGCTAAGTAGATATCCAAAGATCCTTCAACATAATTATGTTTACCCTCCTTCCTAAAAACTCCAATTCCCCTGCCTCCCTCATGTGCATTTGTGTGTATGTGTATGTATGTTTGTATGTAGGAGATATACATTCAGGTAAGTTCACATGTATGTGGGGATGTGTATGTATATGTGTGTACACATGGGAAGGCCAGATGTGAACCTCTAGTATCATTCCTCAGAAATTGTCTAACTTGGTTTTTGAGTCAGAATCATTAGCCTGCAACTTAGCAAAATAAGCTCACCTGGTTGACCAGTAAGCCCAGGGAAGTTCACAATTGTGCCTTTCCTATGAGCATGTGCCTCTGTACCCTGTTGTTTTACATGGGTTTTGGAGATCAAATTCTGGTCTTCATGCTTATTCAGCATTTTACCTACTCAGCTATCTCTCTAGCCCAGTGGTTCTCAACCTCCCTAATGCTGTGACCCTTTAATACTAGTCCTCATGTTGTGGTGACCCCCAACCATAAAATTATTTCTTATTTCATTGCTACTTCATGACTGTAATTTTGCTACTGTAATGTAATGTAAACATCTGATATGCAGGATATCTGATATATGACCCACCCAAGGGGGTCTTGACCCACAGGTTAAGAATCACTGCTCTAGCCCCTCCAAGTTTTCTTACTTGTTTAAATACATTGGCTACAACTTCCAAAAACAAATATGGGGGGGGGGGTCAATTATAGAACTAGCTGGTCTTTGTAGGTAGGTGTTTGTAAAAATCTATGGGTGCCCCATGGTGAGGAATGAGAGTACAGTAGTGTCTGTTGTTAGGACCGTTCAGACCTCTCCAAAAACTTAAAGGAGCACCCAAAACAATCGGGCTTGGGCCTTTCAAGCAGATTTGTGTCTCTTTAACACTGTCTGTTTTGCAGATGTTCACATTTCTAAGTCTACTGTTCGGGGTTATGATTCTCCCGAAGTTTAAGTCTTTCTCCCCATAGCCACAGGCCTTCCTCCTGAACAAGCTCTAGGACTTCCTTCTACTTACTATCTATTATTAGCAGAAGTAGCACAGTAAATGCATCATCTCTGCTTCCATCTTTGTTGCTTAGATGCTATCTTCATCAGTGTTCTACAGCTGGGAAGAGACACCATGACCACGGCAACTCTTGTAAAGGAAACCGTTTAATTAGGGCTGGCTTACAGTTTCAGAGGTGTAGTCCATTATCGTCATGGTGGGGAGCATGGCGGCATGCAGGCAGACATGGCGCTGGAGAAGGAGCTGAGAGTTCTACGTCCAGATAGGCAGGCGGCAGGAAGACAGAGTGACACTGTGCCTGACTTGAGCTTCTGAAACCTCAAAGCCCATCCCCCAATGACACACTTCCTCTAACAAGATCACACCTCCTCCAACAAGGCCATAAATCCGAATCCTTTCAACTAATGCCACTCCCTATGAGCGTATGCAGCCATTTTCATCCAAACCACCACAGACGCTGTTTAAAAAGAGACAGAAGTGGCTATTTATGTGCTTTGATTATTTTTACACTTAATTATAATTGCAATTAACTGTCTTTTGAGAACAGGACTGGCCACGTGCCATGACACTTAATTGGAGGTATCTCACTGTCACTACTTTCTGACTTAATTTCTAACTAAGGATGCTAATAATTAGAAAATAAGCATATGGCCATTTCATTTTTCTTCCTTTTAAATTTCAATATTCTAATTGAACAATAGGAATAGCTTATTTTTATATGGTATAATATGATGCTTGTACATGTTTACATTGTAGAATAACTAAATCATGCTGTGCCGGCTGATTGTATGCCAGGTTGACACAGCTATGGTTATCTAAAAGGAGGGAAAGTTAATTGAGAAGATGCCTCCATAAGATCTGACTATAAGGCATTTTCTTAATTAGTGATGATGGGGGAGGGCCCAGCTCATTGTGGGTGGCACCATCCCTGGGCTGGTGGTCATGGGTTCTATAAGAAAGCAGGCTGAGTAAGCCATGGGGAG